GGAGGAGGACAAGATACCACCTTGAATGGTGATCTCTCTGGAATGGTTCATGGCTACCAAGGAGCCTGTGGACCTAAGGGCCAGGATTCGGGAGGCGCAACAGCTGGATCCATTTGTGAAGGCTCGTCATGAGTTGACTAGCAATGGGAGGGCTGTGATCCTGTGGACGTATACAGAGGACCTGTTGCACTTCCACCTCTATGCTCCAGGGGGACCCCCCCCCCCATGGCATTGTCCTGCATCAATGCTATGATAGCCTGGTGGCAAGCCACTTTGAGGTCTTTAAGACATTGCATCCCCCCTCCCTGATTCTCACACGATAGTAGGCTTCTCATAGGTCCAACTTAGTGAATATGTTGCCTTTGGGCTAGTACAGGGGTCTGCAAGCTTAAACACTCAAAGAGCCATTTGGACCTGTTTCCCACAGAAAACATTGGGATCCATAAAACCCGTCCCGTGCCTGACTATTTCTTGAGCGGCCACAAAACTAGCATATGTAGTTGAATTAAACGTTCTGTTTTCTTCTGACACTTCTCTTGGATTTATCCATGGTTGGCCTACCCAGGGTTGAAAAGGTCAATAAATCGTGTGCCGGCGGGTGTCGCACATTGGCAGTTGTGACGCATATTTTGAGTGACAGAGCCGCAGCAGAGGGGTAAAAGAGCCACATGCGGCGCCAGAGGTGCAGGTTGCTGACCTCTGGGCTAGCATATTCTTCATCAGGAGGAAAGGGTAGATGTTTATTCCCCTATAATCCACACAGACGAAGAATCCCGTTCTTTTCATGAAACTGGACAGGGGCTACTACCCATGGTTGGGCTGGTTGAATGATTTTGGGGGCAGATTTTTGTCAATGAACAACCACAGTTCATCTAACTTGCTCAGAATCATTGGATACAGCTTGCTCAGAATCATTGGATACACCAATTTAGCCATGAGTAGGATCTCTATGGCACAGTCCGTTGGTTGCTGAGGGAGGAGTTTGTCAAAACCCTTTTTTTCTTTAATACCTCTCTTAAGTCCCAATACTCTTTGGGGATAATGGGGAGGTCCTTTTCCTGCTCTGTGCCACCGCCATCAGGAGTTTGTCTTCCAGATTCCTTCTTGCTCTCGGGGAGGATAACTCATTCAGATTTTTAGGGTCTCCTCCAGTTTACATAAGGATTCCATTTCTTTAGCCGGTCCATCCCTGAGGCCACTATGAAGCTTAAAATCTCTAAGTGAGCCCCATTACCTCCAGTCTCTATAGCCATTGAAGAAACTAGGACCCAAGTTTGTGGGGCCCTTCTCAATTAAGCGCATCATTAACCCACTAACTATACAGCTAGACTTGCCCAAATCTCTTCAGCAGATACATCCCGTGTTCCACTGCAGCTTATTGAAACCTGAAGCCATTTCTCTCCTTAGACATAAGATTCTACCTACCCCTGAGCCATTGATGATCAAGGTGGAGCAGCATTTTGAAATCTGAGAAATCCTAGATTCCCGTAAACATAGGGAAACCCTTCAGTATTTAGTAGCCTGGAAAGATTTCCTAACAGCGCAGAATGAGTGGGTTGACCATCGTCATGTTAGAGCCCCTAAACTTTTAAAATACTTCCACAATCAGTATCATGACAAACTCAAATGACATTTCTCCTGTTTTATGCTTTTTCTCTCTGTTTTGTTGGGGGAGGATGGCTTGCTGGCATTTTACACATAATTTTGCTTTTGCTGTAACCGCTTGGGAATTGTCTTCGGAGACAGAGCAGACTTCTTCCCAGCTGGTTCCAGCCTGGTTTCTAGGCTGTCATGCCCTGAGAGTGAACCATTATCTGCCTAGCATCTCAGTGTTCTCAAAACAATCTTGTGGCATCATATGCGCTGCCAGTGGACTGGTCGGGGGGGGAGGGTTGAGTTTAGGGACACAAAAGAGCTGCTTTGAAGTTTGTGTGGGGTTTTTCAGATTTCGCCTGACTTTATTACAACCACACACTCTCAGTTCTTTTGATTCAACTCAATGGAGTCAAGAGTTTGGCTTTCCTGAAGGCCCAGCTGGGGCAGGTTCTTACAGAATGGATGGATGGATGGATGGATGGATGAATGGATGGATGAGGATCGTGTAAAAATGCTAGGAATTGGATAAGAATTGTGATTGCAATATGATAGCTGCTTTTGGATGTGGATTTTTGTTTTCTAAATAGACAAAATGTTATTCTGTTATATAAGAAGAAAATGTCTGAAGGAAAGATGGTGATACTTGAAGTGAGTTCTGTAAATTTTATAGCTACTGTAACATATATAGAAGGCTGATGATCTGAGACTGTGTCTGAGAACAATATTACCAAATTTGCAGATGATACTAAGCTGGCAGGAATAGTTAACACGCTAGAAGATAGGCTCAAGATCCAGATGTATCTTGACAGACTTGAACACTGGGCCCTATCTAACAAAATGAAATTCAATGTAGAGAAAAGTAAAGTCTTACACTTAGGCAAGAAAAACCAAAAGTGCGCATATAGATTGGGTGAAACCAGGCTTAAAAGCAGTAACTGTGAGAGGGATCTTGGAGTCTTAGTGGACAACCAGCTAAATATGAGCCAGCAGTATGCAGCAGCAGTCAAAAAAGCCAATGCAATCCTAAACTGCATTAACAGAGGGATACAATCAAGATCAAGTGTGGTACTAATACCACTCTATAAAGTCTTAGTAAGAACACACCTAGAGTACTGCATCCAGTTTTGGTCACCACATTATAAAAAAGATGTTGAGAAGAGCAACCAGGATGATTAGGGGACTGGAGACTAAAACATGAAGAATGGTTACAGGAACTGAGCATGGCTAGTCTAGTGAAGAGAAGGACCAGGGGAGACATGATAGAAGTGTTGCAATATTTGAGGGGCTGCCACAGAGAAGGGGTCAGGCTATTTTCCAAGGCACCTGAAGGCCAGACAAGGAATAATGGATGGAAACTGACCAAGGAGAGATTCAACCTAATAATAAGGAGAAATTTTCTGACAGTGAGAACAATCAACCAATGGAACTGCTTGCCTTTGGAAGTTGTGGGAGCTTCATCACTGGAGGCTTTCAAGAAGAGATTGGACTGCCATTTGTCAGAAATGGTACCGGGTCTCCTGCTTGAACAGAGGGTTGGACTAGATGACCTACAAGGTCCCTTCCAACTCTGTTAATCTAATTAATCTAAACACTTCATCTACTGAGTGAAGATTAGGGTCACTGAAGCAGTGGTGGGATTCAATTTTTTTAACAATTCTGTGGGTGTGGCTTGGTGGTCATGTGACTAGGTAGCCATGGCTATGTGCATAGGGACTACTCAAGGGCTGAAAAAAGTCATTTCTGACAGGTCCTCACACTTATGACCATCCTCACATTTATGCCCATTGCAGCATTCTTAACAATCGTATCACTCATTTCACAACTGCATTGCTTCATGTGACCTGGTGGGTGTCGCCAGGTGGTCATGTGGCATTGCTTATTTGCCCTAATGACAGTTCACTGCAATGGTCATAAGTGTGAAAAACGGTCATAAATCACTTTTTCCAATGCCATTGTAACTCTTGTAAGTCAAGGATTACCTGTACAAAAATACAAAAAGCTGTACAAAAATACAAAAATACCAATCATTAGATTAGAAATAACTGCAAACTGGAGTTACAAATCAGGCAGGCACCTTGAGGAATTAAAATAGTTAAAATGCAATGATAACTATCAGCAGCCAATTCTTGCTCATAAAGTGAAACCCTTTAGCAGAGAGATCATTTAAGCTCTCCAGAATGAAGCAAAGGAGCAAATAGAGTATCTGTTGCTTGTTAAACCAATTACCAGAACAAATAGATACAGGAACTAGTCAGATTCCCGAAGCTGCTTCTTTTCAGGAACAGAGATTAACATTTTCCCTTCCAAACAAAGCTGAATAGGAAAAATTATCTCATCACTAAACACAGGATTAAACATCACCAAGCACAGGATTAAACTTCACCAAAAACCAATTTTAGACCAAATGTCAGAAAGGGTATGTAAACTCACGTTTGAATGTCAATCTTTCTAGCTAGCCAATAAGCCTTGCTGAATGTCACTCATCTTGGTTCCTTGTCATTAAAAGCTTCTGCTTCGTTATTCAATTATTTCTTCAAAGTGCTGATCATTGCACCCTGGCTGGAAGAATTCCAACAGGGGAGTATTTCCTCCCAACAGCGGTGTAAAAAGCTTAAAACAACTCTTCCCCTTTTAGAAAATCAAGCAAAAAACAAAACAAAACTCCGAGACGCTCCGGAACTGGAAGTCACAGTAAGTCTAGGTGTACTGCCAAGCATGTAGTAAGGGTTAACGGAGAGGAAGTTTCTGTAAGCAGGGCAATAAAGATTAGGCTAGGAAACAAAAATTCCTTACAGGATTAGCCCTGTAAAGTGGAAAAAAACAAAACGAGATTTTTTTCTAACAACCAGTTCTCCAAATTGCTTAACTACTTAACAACTGGTTCTACCGAACCGGTGTGAACTGGTAGAATCCCACCATTGCACTGAAGCTATGAAAATCTGCAAAGATCAGATGCCAGTGGCTTAGAAAGAGAGCTTTTGCTGAATGTGTTCCAACTTCTTTTTTACACTCTAAACAAATAGTACCTTGCTAAACGAGAACTTCCCTGTTCCTTGTCTGGTGTAAAATTGGAACTTCCTCTCTGGAGTGGTGCCCCTTCCTTGCTTCTAATTAAATTGTGAAAACCTACTGGTTTTGCCAGGCCTTGAATAGAATTTTGTATTTCAATATAATTTTATGTAAATTGCTCTGTTTCATTGAAGATGGTTATGATTATAGTCATATCCGTTCTACATGTAATTAAGCTCAGTATGAAACTTGATTAAACCTTGTATCTCTCTCTCTCTTTCTTTCCTCTGTAGTTGATGATTTTTGGAATCTTTTTGTGCCTGGATGCTTTCCTTTATGTATTCACCCTCCTCCCGTTGCGAGTTTTTCTGGCAATGTTCAGGTTCATCACATTGCCTTGTAGCAGCTTGCGGTAAGTTTTTTACTCTTCCTGCTTTGTAAAAACATGGTTTAATTGTTTATATACCTTGGTCTTAATTTGTTTTTAAGTGGTGTAGTTTAATACTGGTTCTTGATTGAAGAGTCTAACATTTCCAGTTGTTTCAATGATTCACCTGGCTGAGTTCTTTGCAGTTGGCTGAGGACATTTATAGAACTTTAAAAGTGGTGAATGAAGCATTAGCCTCCATAAGTACTTTATCTTGCAAATTGGGTATAATTAAATTACAATTCATTTGGCACGATAGCCTACTGATTTTTCTTTCAAGAGCTACATGTATTTATATCAAATATAAATAAATGTATGCTTAAGATGTCTCTGGTGACATGGCTCTTCTAATTGGAATACATAATCTTTTTATAACACTGAAATAGAGCTTTATAATATGAAAACTATATTTCTCTTTAAGACTTCCAAAATAAGTAAATATCTGAGATAAACTCTGAACTAAAAGCGAGAATGCTACAAACCGAAATATGTTAAATGCAAGAATCTGTGGCTAAGGACTTGTAATTTTCAAATCAAAGTTTGATTAATTTAACAATGTACACAATATAGGTTACTCTGAAGTTGTTCTGCCCCAGCTACAGACCCCAAAGAACGCAGCACACACAAAGTCCGTACAAACCTTAATTTACTAATTAAAGACTACTAATGAGCTTTCTTAGTAGTTGTTCGAACACAAGTACAATAAATCAGTCTTTTCTGAACAAGAGCTGTTAATTTAACTTCATTAACAGCCGACAAGAATTCAAAGAATAATAACTCAGTTCTGAAGCACAGTATTTCAGATAACCGTAACCTTACTGTGGTTGGCAGAATGCCCAGAAGCAATTTGCAGGAAAACTGATAACAGAAAAACAAGAGCCGAAATCAAACGTTTCTGTAATCAAGACTCGAAGGAATGTGAACAAAGTTGTTTCCTGCAAATTGCATCAGTCGTCGTCCTTCCTTAAATAGGCTAGGGGAGTGGCCAATTAGCCCCAAGCCTTACTCTCGAGGAGACCTCCTCCTGAGGAGCCACTCCTGCCTTTTCGCAGCTCTGCATGCTCCTGCATCGAGAAAAGACTCCTCCTCTTCTTCCTCTTCACTTATGGGAGCTTCTGGAGGTTCTGAAGGCCCTGGCTGAATCCCTGCCTCTGGCACCACATCTTCTCCAGCCTCCTCATTGTCCGACTCGAGTGCCAACTGCACAGGCTGCTGGCGCAGCACCACACCAGCCTCCTCACTGTCGGAATCAGCTATTAACTGCACAGGCCGCTGACGGGCCACAACAGAAGTGCACTTTTATTGAGGTGAAAACATTATACCACCATTTGCGACTAGAATTTTATTTTCTTGTAGAATAAGATAGTAAAAAATGTTAAATCTCTAAATAACAATTTATTACCGTGGCTCTTTTTTTGCCTGTCACTAGGTTAAAAATCTATGTGATTATATATATTGTCAGAATTTTTTATTACGTTATAAAATAAGATACAAAATAGGAAGACAGTGAGGGGAAAGAGGGGAAGGGAAGTGAGGAAGGGCTGGGGAAAAGAAAAAAATGTGTTAATGTCTGACTACCTCTGTTGCAGTAAAATAACTGCATCACTAACATCAAACAACAACTTTTTGCTTTTCCATAGTAATATAAACTAGCCATTTCTATAAACACATAGCAGTCTAATCGGTAAAACCTAAAATCAAAGTTTCATTTTTTTCCACCTCAAGCACAAAGCAGTCTCCATGTGGCAACAAAGGTACTTATATTCTTTTCTTTAATCAAAATGGTCAATTTAACCATTTCTGCCAACTCCATCAGCTTCTGTAAGCATTCATCCATGGTAGGAATCAAAATGTCCTTCCACTTTTAAGTGTACAGTAGTCTTGCTGCTGTCAACATATATAACATTAAAGTTCCGAATTTTTTCTCCAACTCTTTTTCCATTATACCCCCCAAAAAAGCTGCTGGTTTCATCTTTATGTTTGTTCTAAGAATTTTCTGTATTAAAATATGAATCTTACTCCAAAATGTCTTTGCTTTAACATATGTCCACCATAAATGATAAAAAGTCCCTTCTTTACTTTTACACTTCCAACATTCATTAGGAATACCGTTATACATTCTAGTTAACTTATCCAGTGTTAAATACTAAGGATACATCATCTTATAAAAAATTTCAAATTCATTTTTAACTAAATCAAACCCATAATCTTTTTATTTAGTTTAAATCTTTCTTTCAGTTGTTGATATGTAAACCAATGGCAAACATAATCTTCTGATTCAAGTTCTTCCCTCGACTTTAATGTAGGGTCACCGATGTTGAAAGATAGTACTTTACTGTACATCCACCAGTCTGGCTTCACCACCATTTCTTTTCTTTAAAAAAGGCTTCCTGGGGGGACACCCAAAGAGGCAGCTTCATAGAGAACCTTGTTGTATATTTATTTGAGACACTTAGTATGGCAAGTCTAGCAAAGTGATTGTTAAATTCAACATTAACTTCAGCTTTATCATACCATAAATAACCGTGTCATCCAAATCTTAATTCATGACCCTCTAATTCAAGTAACCTCTTGTTCTGGAGGTTCAGCCACTCTTTTGACCAGGCCAGACAGCATGCATCAAAATACAATTTCAAGTCTGGTAAACCCAATCCTCTTCTTTCCTTTAGCGTCTTACAATAGCTTGTATCTAATTCTTGGTTTTTTCCTTGCTATATAAACTTGGACATATCCTTCTGCCATTGTTTAAATGAATTATCAGTTGCAAGTATTGGTAATGTCTGGAATAAGAAAAGCATCTTTGGTAAGATGTTTATCTTAATTACAGATTACCCAATAGTGATAGGTGCAATTTGTCCCATCGATATAGGTCCTGTTTAATATCCCTCCAAAGAGGGACATAGTTATTTTGGAACAGTTTTATATTTGTATTTGTCAACATAACCCCCAAGTATTTCACCTTTTTCTTGACCCTAAAACTCGACATTTTAGTCAATATATCACTGTCCTGAGATGATATATTCTTGATCAATATTATTGTTTCCTGTTTATTTTAAAACCCGCTAAAGCCTCAAACTCATTTAATTTTCTCATCAAATATTATATATTATTTCTTGGGTCTTGGAAGAATATAACCAGATCATCAGCAAACACCCTCAATTTATAAACTTCTTTCTTGATACTTATACCCCTTATTGTATCATCTTTCCTAATACCTCTATTCAAAACTTCCAATACCAAGATGAACAGCAGAGGAGACAAGGGGCATCCTTGTCTTGTAACTTTTGAATTTCACATGAGTTAGTTAAATTACTATTAATGACAATTTTTGCTTTCTGTGACATGTAAACTGCTTTAATTCCTTGAATAAAGTTCTCTCCAAAGTCCATTTCTTCCAGCACTTTAAACAAAAAATCAAAATTTAAGTTGTCAAAGGCCTTCTCTGCATCTAGAATTAATAAGGCTACCTGTTTCTCATTTTGATATTGTAAATATTCAATAATATTCAAAACAGTCCTCACATTGTCTCTTAGCTATCTTTTCAGCAGAAAGCTCGATTGGCCATCATGTATATATGATTGTAAAATCTTCTTTAGTCTTTCTGTCAAAACGGCAGCAAAGAGTTTGTAATCCTTGTTTAATAATGAGATTGGTGTATAGTTGTTTGTAACATTTTACTTATTTATTTATTTATTTATTTATTTATTTATTTATTTATTTATTTATTTATTTATTTAATTTTTATACCGCCCTTCTCCCGAAGGACTCAGGGCGGTGTACAGCCAAGATAAAAAACCAACAATATAAAAGTTAAAAAACAATTTAAAATTATTAAATAGTTTGGCCAATAATCTAAAATAAAATAATCCATTAAAATAATATTTTAGGCCAGCCCTGCTTGATGGAATAATAGTGTTTTAAGGGCGCGGCGAAAGGTACGAAGGTCGGGAATCCGACGAATCTCCGGGGGCAGCTCGTTCCAGAGGGCAGGTGCCCCCACAGAGAAGGCTCTCCCCCTGGGGGTCGCCGGTCGACACTGTCTAACCGACGGCACCCTGAGGAGACCCTCTCTGTGGGAGCGTACTGGTCGATGGGAGGCAATTGGAGGCAGAAGGCGGTCTCGTAAGTACCCAGGTCCTATGCCATGGAGCGCTTTAAAGGTGGCGACCAACACTTGAATCGCACCCGGAAGACTACTGGGAGCCAGTGCAGCTCGCGCAGGAACGGTGTTACATGGGAGCATTGAGTCGCCCCCATAATCACCCGCGCGGCCGCATTCTGAACCAGTTGGAGCCTCCGGGTGCTTTTCAAGGGGAGCCCCATGTAGAGAGCGTTACAGTAGTCCAGATGGGAAGTGATGAGGGCGTGAGTGACCGTGCGCAAGGCATCCCAGTCCAGAAAGGGACGCAACTGGTGGATCAGGTGAACCTGATAAAAAGCCCCTCTGGCCACAGCCGTCAGATGGTCTTCTAAAGACAGCTGTGAGTCCAGGCGGACCCCCAAGTTGCGAACACTCTCTGAGGGGGCCAAGATCTCACCCCCTATAGTCAGTGATGGAACCAACTGACTATGACGGGATGCCGGAAACCACAGTCACTCGGTCTTGGAAGGGTTGAGTCTGAGCTTGTTTCTCCCCATCCAGATCCATACGGCCTCCAGGCACCGGGTCATCACTTCAAGGGCATCATTGGGGTGGCCCGGGGTGGAAATGTACAGCTGAGTATCATCAGTGTACTGATGGAAATCCACTCCGAAGCCACGGATGATCTCACCCAGCAGCTTCACATAAATGTTGAACAGGAGGGGCGAGAAGACTGACCCCTGCGGCACCCCACAAACTAGGCGCCTCGAGTTTGTGGGGTGTTGACCTCTGCCCCCCTGCCAACACAGACCACGTACGGTCAGAAAGGAGGAGAACCACCGTAACACGGTGCCCCCCCACCCCTAACCCCTCCAATCGGCGCAGCATGATACCATGGTCGATG